TAGAAATCCGAGACTGCGCGCGTACAAAGTGGTATCTTGAGAATTTCCTCCAAATCAAAGGGAGTGAAGATAGACCGAACTAGTCCTTCATTTCAAAACGCTGCGTGATTCTCCACGGACGGACGGGTGAGATATTGGGTCACCGTTTGCTGAGCCCAAGATGGAGACGCTGTTCCAGTCCTAGGAGATTGTTTAGGACGGGCTCGATATTAGGTGTGGGGCTTACCGAGCAGAGTGATTTTTTTGAGAAACTACTTGGGAGTAGCCCAGAGAAAGCTACGTTTTTCCATATTTGCTCTCTACAAAGCAGGTCCAAAATCCTTTCTTCTAAGACTAGCCACAATGGAAGTAACTTCAGCAGTAACATCGAATCCTACTCAACAAGTTTGCTTATGTGGCAATGAGTTAATAAGAGGAGAGGTAGTTAGGCTGGTCATAGTGGGGAGTAACTTAGACTAGTTACTGTAACATCACATATCTCAATACAATATGAGTCTATAACCTAATAAATGAAACTTTGCATGTTACCATACTTATGTTACTACCCACTATGAATAACATAGTCTAAGGATATGTGTATGTTACTAGTGTATGTTACTCATCATTGTGGCTAGTTTAGCATTCCGACGATTCTGAATCTAGTATATGGCTGTCAAGGACGCGGTTGGCTGGTCAAGAGTCAGCCCAGCCCAGGTGGCGGTGTGACCACTGACCATGTCTGGTGACCGACTCCTTGCTCCTTCCGTGGGGCTTCTGCTGGATGTTCACTGTGCGGCGACTATTATTCCGTGCTAGTACTTTGTGTTCGCCGAGCTTCAACGGAAACAGTCTACCCTCCATAATGGCTGCTTTGTGCGTGTTTCTTTTCGATCCAACAATGATGGTTAACATGTGCATCTCAGTCATACCTGCTCCGAATCAACCTTTTCTGCCCACCAAGCTAAGCATGGTCACCAAGAACAAACATAATTTTTTTCAAATGACCACGATCTCCATTCGCACTGGTAAAATTGCTTCCTTCCACTTTTTAAAATAAATACTATCAAAAGGGCACGCACATTGCAACTGGAGGAAAAAAAACATAATCTCAAATGCCATGACCATATTTTGCTGCATCACCGAGATACACTATCACTCTCAATTTCGTGAAATTATGAATATTTTTTTAAGATCGTGCACATGTTTGAAATCATGAATATTTTTAATTCTTGAAAACTTTTACAAATTTTTGAACAATTTCTAAAATCAAGAACATTTTATACTATTCTTTTTAAACTGTGAACATTTTTATAAACAAGTTTCTTGAATCGGCGAACATTTCTAGAATCGAGGAACATTTTTTTGGAAATTGGTGCAACAATTTTTGAAATTCATGATCATTTTTTTATTTAACGAACATTTTTGAAATGCATGATCATTTTTTCAATCAACAAAGATTTCATGAATGAATAAACTATTTTGTAAGTCCTGAACATTTTATGAATTTTAGGATATCTTCCCATTCATGAACATTTTTGAATTGAATTTTTTGTTTAATTGTGTTAACATTTTTAATACAGGACTATTAGGATCGAGAGTATATCGAGCAGAGGGGGGTGAATGGGAGATTTAAAAATTCTTACGAATATTTTTAACAGATCCCAACATAGCAGCGAAAATAAGGTTCGGTAAAAAAAACTTAATCAAGCACACTAGGGAGGAACATATCTTTTCGAAGAAGGAAGAAATAATGCTCGAGCATAGGATATCACACGCTTGACAATAATGATGGTAATGCAATATGCAAACAGATGCAGTAGCATGAATGAAAACAAGGATAAGAATTACGAAAGAGAAGCACACAACAAAGGGTGACGAGGTAAATGAAAGAGACACAGGAAAAACACGCCAGGCTAACAAGATAAGTGCAACGAGTAAATTCTAAGACTGGGACAACTAAACTAAACGATGAGAATACAAAATGGAGAGCAACGAACTATAACAGAAGGAATGACAGAGATGATAGAAACGATTGATATGCAACAACCAATGATTGAACAAATAACTATCGTCACAGAGCACACATGTAAACAGCTGAAGGTAATGTAGTAAGGTAGAGTGAACCCATGGTGCTCGATGGCGACACATGGATTTGGTAGACCAGTTCGCCCTTCTACCAAAGGACTACGCTTGGTTGGAGGGGTTGTGATTTAACACAGAAGTAAAACTCTCTTCACCCTATTCTCCTTCAACTCGGAGCTGATCAGACTCCAGTTGATTTCGCTCGTGGTAGATACTTGTCGGTGATCTCCAAACCTTCGGCCGACCTTCGCGAACCACAATGACTCTTGGTTGCTGAAGATCTTGCTCGGTGAAGATAAAAACTCTTCAACACTCGAGCCGACACCTATCCGTCTAGAGAGTGCGCAGCTCTCAAGAGTAATAGGTACACGAACTCTAAACTCAAAACTAATGTGATTCTCAACAACTGTCTAAGTTTTGGGCTCTTGATTTTTCTCTCAGTGGACGGAGAGGGGATGCTCAATCAATCTTCTCAGAAATCTTAAGCGAAGCAGCCAACGGCCAAATGACACGAGTCTTCCTTGAGGGGATGGCTATTTATAGCTGTAGCCTTCCTTGAAGGGAAAATACCAAACTGGACATGCGGAGCAGCCAATGGCCAAATGACACGAGTCCAACAATCGGAAATTGAGCTCAACGGTAACATTCCTTGCGGAGCAAGTAATGCTAACTCCTCAGTTTGAAAGATATCTCTTGCAGCACGAAGAACAATGTCTACTGCTGGCAGGTAATCATTCGAAACATAAAGAGATTTCTCTCAGTCTTGCATAGGTTTTGGGCTAAGCATCACAACGGATCTAAGCTTCGAGAACCTATACCCCTCTTAATAGT